AGCGTCGAGAGCATTCGCGCACAATGGCCGCGGCTAATTCTACACTCGACGGCCGCGATCGTAACGCGCTTTCCAGTAAAGGACTCTCGTAATCGTCTAATCGCCGTAGAACGGCACCGAAGTGCGCTTCAATCGCGATCGCACACAACACGGGATATGCCATCCCGTAGCGAGGGGGAATATCTGATTGATGATTAAGGGGCGATGGACAGAACGAGCGCGAGAGTTAGGGAGTAATCTTGACCGGACAAAGATTTTCATCGAGACATTCGGATTTGATTTTCAACCCCATCGTTTCGCCCCACCGCGTAGAGAGAAGAAGAGTCGGGGATGGAGCGCGACGACTCCGCCATGTGAGAGAACGATCGACTCTTGGGTTTGCTTTTATCGGGTTACGCAACGTCCACGAAAACCAGTCGGCTAAGTTCTTTGTCTACAAAGCCATCTGTCACCCCGAAGTGCCTGTGTGAGGGTGTGAGAACGATGTGTGGGCGGCGGCGCCGATACGTGTGCTCGTCGTAGCACCCGTTACGCGTATCTCCGTGTTTTCCGTGTCTATGTATGGACGTATGTACGTGTGGACACTAGCCGTACGCCAATATGTGAGATACGATCGAGATAAAAGCGAGATAGCGCGACAAGTATAAGCGGACCTTTGGGACGTGTATTGAGTATTGATTTTCTCCGCGCGGAGTGTTACGCGCCACGGGTTAAGCCGAAACGCAACGAATTTTATTAATCCCTTCGAACGCATTTACGTGCTACGGTAAGATTTCGCACACAAAGATTTTGATCGTTTCTCAAAACGCGGATTATTCAACAGCAAAATTATCGCGACCGTTCGTCTTGGATGAAAGTAATTGTCGAGAATGTCGTTTTACGTCAATTGTGATACCGATATTTTGGAAAGATTTCTTTGTGTAAAATCAAAATGTTTAATTGATAAAAATTTACGATCTTTTTTAAATTAAATAAACTTTTCAATCCCATTACCTCTTTGTATAACGCTGTTGGTTAAATTCACATTGTAACTTAAATCTCGGAGCTGCATAAATTGGTTAACTCTAGAGAGTAGTGACGGAGGAGGAAAGGAACGTTGGAAGATGGATAGGGAA